GTGGGAAACTGAGTCAACTCTGGAGGCTGAATTGACCATGATGTCGCCTTGCACGGGTCACGGTTATGGTGTGATTTTAGATTATATTTTTATTTCCGCGGAGAGAAAGTGGTGGCCGAGAAGGTTGTTGTCTTCCATCGCTTCTTGCCCTGTAGGTGGAAAGCAGCTCGCCAAAGCAATACTAATCGGATCCTACCTTTTGTCCCAGAGTCCAATCTAATTAGTTCGTGCGTAAACTAATCTCATCTGGAACTCCCACATACGGCCAGCGGCTAATGCAATGTCGTGCTCAATCTCATCTGGGGAAGCGGAAAGTAGAGAAATATTTCGACAAATGGTGCCCAACAGGAGGGCAAGGTGGCAAAAGAGGAATTGGAAATGGGGCGAATTGGAGGAATATTTTATTTGCGATGGATCTACGAGAAATGAGTTGGTAAAAAATTGTCACCATGTCGTAACTAAAATCATGTTTGTAACCGAATGATAACAATTATTTCGGAGCAATTTACCTCCCGTGAGAAATTGTTACCAACGCGGTAATAATTACAATTTCGTACTTACAAATATTTTAAAAAGTCAGTTCAACTTTCACTACTTTCACTCCACATTGTTTTGCTATTTGTATCGCCAAAAGTTACCCCCAGTGACAAATTGTCACCAAATCGGTATTGATTACCATTGTGTGGTTACAAATATTTAAAAAAGCCAGTCTTTACTTTCACTACTTTCACACCATATCATTTTACTTATCAATTATTCGTATCACCCCCGAAAAAGAAATCTCTGCTGATCCCGACTTTGCCAAAAGTGATTGGACAAACTTGCTTTGATTGATTGTCGTCGTCGTGACTAATGTTTTTCTTCTTCTGCTCTTCTCTTACCCTCCAATCGGAGAAAGTAATCAATCATCCGCCCTCGGGATTATCGACACCTTCCACATTCTAAAAATGGCACAATTGTCCAACCTCACAGATGGACTATGCCAACCAAACGATGAATGAATGGATGAAAACCAAGTTCATGGGAAATAAGTGAGCAGTTTTTTCACCTTCAAAACCATCTTCATCTCATCTCACCTCACACACACATCTGTACCTGCACATAATGATCACCAGTGTAATAATTCATCTCAAATTGACACCTTTTATCTGATCAGCCAGCCTCCTTTCCGTAAAATTATCTAACTATCCCAGACTTTAAATTGGATTAGGTAACTCGCTCGCAAGCAAGTCAACGACAGCAAAGTTGGCGGTTATATTAATCAGACGTGATGGATCTTAGGGCGATAAGTAGCTCAATTCTTGAGCTACGAGGACACATATGCAGTGGCCGCGGAAGCGTGGGACAAAAGAGGGTCAATGTCCCCACGGTTGTTCGATGTTCGCATCATCTGCCCATTTTATATAAACACCTCCCCCCCTATCCTACAATGTTAACGTCCCCAGATGCCCCCACAGCTTCCGCGGTCACTGCAAGGTAGGCAATATATTCACCCTGTTTTGTATGGAATTAACTTCCCGTCGTCGAGGTAGGTCGATAGGTTTTTCGAATTAATTAGCCATGTATGCATGAATTTATTTCGGGAATTTCTAAAGAATCATGCATATCGTTGGCCTAGTTATACGGAAAGCGACATGTGCTACAGATGTCTCTTGTCATCCAATTTGGTAATTAGGCCGACCGTATACATTTCAATTTCCGACTGAACACATATAGGATTAAATTATTATAAAACCTACACAATTCACTCCAAATTTTCCCCGTCTCGTTTTCCACCTGAAAACCAAAAGCATGATTTGATAAATAATATTAATAAGTAACCGAATCTGAGTGTCATATTAATAAGTAGGCGAACATCCATCCATTCTAGCTCAGGTGGCCAAAAACATGAACACAAAGTGAGCATGGGAGAAATACTCCTCCACTTTCTCCACATGTACGAGAAATACGTAATCTTTCTCCCAATAATTTCCAACCCAACTTGTTTTTGCTTTCTCCACGGACAAACATTTCTTCCATCTTCTCAGAAGGGTAAAATAAACAAACCCGACGGCTGAAACCAGACCGGTGCAACATCTTTGTCGCATTACTCCTTCCCTAATTTCTGGCCAGGCATGAATTTTGTTTTGTGAATCCTTATTTAGCGAATCGAATTGGCACCTCCATTAATCTCCTCCTGTGTTTATCTCGTTTTCTCGGAAATCTCACATTTACTCCCTCCACTCCACCTGTCTACATGATCTCATTCATGTTCACGATTCACTTCACGAAACCATTTACAAAGCACGAGTGGAATAAACGTGCTAAATAAATTAGGACAAATGGAGTGATCATCCACCTTAGTTATACTTTCTCCTTGTCTTTCCTGCTATGTAGCTGCCACCCTTAAAACACAAGAACCTGGCTGAATTATGGGTGTCGTTTCGTCCAAATTCAGAGAATTGTTCCCCAAGGTTTGCAGGAGGAGGAGAAAATTGTTCTTAGAAATTATAAAATAAATACCTGCCTGCCAAAAAACAAGCATCTCTCACGGCGCGTGTACATGCATTACTTAATTAGCATCAATAATAATAATATTATCTCTTCACTTCTTAGTGGTCTCTCCTTAGTCGGATTTCATATTAAGAGGAAAACATAAAGAAAGACAACAATATTTTTCTGGGAGAAAGTAACCCAATTTGTGATCGAATTTTGTTCCCTGTTTATTAAATAAAATATGTCTCTGCATTTTGCTGTTGATGATCGCCAACCATAATTGTTGACATTTTCTATATTCTGCTAACTTTCTCTCCTCGTGCCTTCTTCTGCCTGTGTGAAGGTCTTTCTTTTCCTCTGGCAGGAAAGAAAGTCAAGGCAGTTTTCTCCCTCGTATAACCCGTAGTGCTGTCACGTAGTAGCCGAGCCAAGTTTGGGAAAGACAATGCGTGGGCGGGTTGAGTTATACTTTCGCCTTTTGGAATGCCACTGACTGCTATTTGTATGGATGGAGTGTGAGAGAGTCGGTCGGTAGGTGGATAATGTTTGTGTTGTGGGTTTGGGAAATTGACGTGGTTTACAAGAAGGAATTCTGTTCAAGTTCAACAATCTGTGACAATTGTGAGGTTTTAAATTGTGACCTTCATGTCCCAGTTTATCAAAGAATAATGAGAACATGGGCATCCCGTCAACGTCATCATGAGAGGATTAAGGGACGTGTGTGTGTGTGGGGGGTGTTTCTGCTTCTCAAGGTGGCCACGTGAAGGGGACAGGACGACGTATAACTCATGCCTCGCCACACATTCCGACATTTACGGTGGTAGACCACTGGCTTCCTTGAATACAAATTAGATAGCTCTTTGACGCTGGTTGTGTGGAGGAGGAGGAGGGTGAAAGTTAGTTTGAACCGTAATCTTCATCGTCAAGAATATGTATGAATCGGGCCGTTTATGTAGGAATCTTCTCTAAAACAGTATCGTATAACCTAGTTAATTGTGATAATTAGGGCGTAATTAAACTACCCGTAAGTGAACTCAATTAGGACGATGTACTCCTCTCCGAATTGATCCTCTCATTAGGACAATTTACCATTTAATATTAATTACACGGGTAAAATTCATTGTCAATTAATTTTCACCGTGCACCACTTTCTCTCATTTGTCAAATTAGCGTATTTTGAGCGATCTTTACGCCCAAATACGTGTCACAGAATCGTGCATGGCTACTCTCACCCATGCTTTCTCTGCTAAGTATATCCTCAGTATTTATTTTATGAGGAGAGATTATGTGAAGTCTCATCTAAAATTTAAATTCTCTCACTTCGCCGACCCACCGACCGACCAGCCTCCCAGTCTACGCTTTCCCCAACTCATAACGAATATACGTACGTAATCATCACCCATTCAGTTTTCTCACCTTCTTCCTTCCCCAAAACACGGAGGATGGATGGGCAAGCCTCAGAAGCTCGTAGGGAAAGCAATTATTGCGGTCCTTCTTTCCTCCTAACGAACGCGTGTTAAATGACCAGATGGGGGAAGGACTTGGTGGAAGCTAAAAATAGATGCAATCAACGTACTTTATGGCTCCTATTTTTTAGCACAGGGCCAAGTCCCTTAAGCACACTTTATTCTTGCTTTCACATACTTTGCATGCACATTTACGTCTAAATTTACCTCATTTTCTGCCCCTGCTCCTGCTGCATCTCTGTTTGTTCCGCAATCAGCCCTGGGAAAAGAAAATGTGTGTATACAATTTCTGCTTTCCTGGTATTATGCATGCATAAAATATATTTTTTGTCAACATTAGCATATTAAATTGATTGAGTATTGCTCAGAATTTTGCAGCAGTGACGAATTCCTGGCAAGGATTGCATAATCCATGCCGAGAAAGTAGGAGAACCTTCGAAACATGTATGAGTCACAGACTGCATTATGTAATACGCATCAGGCTTAAGTATTTGAGTACTGACTGACTCCCACTTTGGAGACATTTTCCTTCTGCATTGCACGCTGACTAATCTAATGAATGAATGAATTATAAATGACTAAGTGGAAATCTGGGAAGTCGGAGAAAGAACAAATAGTGAAATGATTAGTAAGAAAGCAAGCAGAAACGTGGTCTGGTCATCGACTTTTCTCCTTCTTACATATGCTTCTCTTTCCCCCGTGTAACCTGAGACACCAGAAGAACTACATAAGACGACTACTAACTACAAGCAGAATAGTATTCAATTTGACGACGTGAAAAGTGAAAACAAAACGTGTATGCATACATACATGTCATACACGGGTGCCTACTTTCACCTATATTTCTTGGTGGATTGGATAAGCTAGTATGCAGAAAAGGTACGGAATCTACTAGCGTGTGATTGATGGTGGTGGTCGTTGGTGGTACTGTGCACTACTCGTTCGTCGTTTCGTACCCTGCCTGCCTGGTGAGAGTGCGGGTTGAGATGGTGCGGGGGCGACGGGCAGCAGGAGAAAGCGAGCATTATCAGTACGAAGGACGATCCAACCACTCAAACCCCAACCAGACTTCAGCACGGACACAGAGAAGAACACATCGCTCCTCAAATTTACCAACTTATCCTCAACTCATAGCTAAACAAATTGGAGAAAGTTGGCCGTCTCAACTCTAAACATCATCGTCTCAACTAATCCGCTCGCATTTTCTGCAAAAAAACAAACCTTGTAATTCAAGCAAATTATTTACTAACCAAGTAATTTTCCAAGTTTGAGTAAATGGAAAAAAATTAGTATCCAGTAACCGATATTTTTTCTGGCGTGTGTTTTTTTCATGTCTGAAACTTATCGCTCAGTTGTGAAAGTGTGTAGAAGAGAGAAAATAATCGACTTAGGAAGAAGACCGCACTGGACTCGGAACAACTTTGTTGGTACGTCTCGAAAAGAATTCTAAATTAGTTTTAGGACTCATTTGGGAGAAAGTGAACATTTTTAGAATTTTGAAAAAAATACAATCACTTCATCAAGTTAGACAGCAAAGTATTGATTATCACGAAAAGAGACACGTTCAAGACAAACTTTTACATTTTGGGGTAAAGTAGTACACACGAGTTACTTACTTACTTACTCTCTACACTGTTGAGCTTTTTTACCTACCTAAACATACATTGAGTGCAGTGGAGAAAGTCTCAAAGTTACGAGGGACACTTACTTTTTACCAATGATTATCACCACCTCCATAAGAAGATGAGTGATGATGCCCTGATCTCTACTATCAATACTGGAGCTGCTTATCAACCCCGAAAAAGATAAGATCTCATCTCATCTCATCCACACATACTCTTTTACACTCTTTCGCAAAGCAATCCTCGTTACATAAAACTTTGCCAACTATCAAATTTCTTCTCCTCCAATCATCATGAGTATATACAGCAGAACGGTGGTGAGGGGGTGCGGCCTGGTAGGTGGCGTCCTTCTCCTTCTCCTCCTCCTCTCCCCCACGATGTCATACCGCCTCCAAAGTCAACAACAACAATCTCTCTCGTCAAAGTCCACCCAGCAACGGAATCACTCTCAGCAGAATCATAACTATAACGCGTCATCTCGATCATCAAGTATTGGATCACCCTGGCCACCACGGATCCCTTTGTGGGGGTTTCTTCCCTCCTCGTCATCATCAGCATCATCACCATCGACCTCTTCTTCTTCTTATTCTTCTTCCAATCATCATCCAAATAGTATCAACCATGCCGTCGCCGCCGCCAATTCCCTAAACGCCAAACCCTCCAAGCGAGAGTCCTCCCCCTCTTCTCACAACAACAAAGGACTGAATAATGCAAATCATCTCAAGAGCAACATGGTAGATCCCCATCACCAACGACCCCACCACTTCCCTTCGACCTTCGATACCTTTGAGGACGACAATGACGACGACGACAATCTACTCTTTGACGATGGCAGCAGCATCAACGATGACGATGACGCCTGGCTCGTCAATCTTAAACGGTCTTCAAACAACCTTGGCCAACAACGTTCGGGTGTGAAGAGGAACCGGATCTATGATGTACCTCAAATTGGTGAGAGATTTTTTGCAGTTTTTTTTGCTTTCTCCGCTTTCAAGGGTAAATTGCTGGCTTGCTTTCTCCAGGAATTCATATATTGCTGAGGTCGTCGCCTCTTGACCATGGCGAAGTGGTGCTCAATTCACTCACATGCATATTTACCCTCTCGTTCAAACCTATTAATACTTCTTTTCAATTTCTTCTCTTCTCTTGTCTTGCGTATAAATAAGGAGAGAAAAGAAAACTTGAGTAAGTAAGAATTGTTTTGAGAAAATGTCAAGGTTCGCTCTCTCTCCGTGTGTACACACGATATGTACAAATGCTCTGCTTTTTCGTGTGCTCATCAATTATCCATCCCCTCATTCAGTAGCAATGATGAGTGGAGTGAGTGGAATGGAAAAACTGAGTGTGCTTTCTCTTTTTCTCTCTCTACTTGCGAATTTATGACAACGACATCAAGTATAAATGCAAACCATCAAACTTGACAAGTCGTCTGTTGTATGTGTTTCTTCTTCTCGTATTTTTCTAATAATCCGTCAACTTGGAGGAGAAAGCTACCAGAATACCGTTGCATTGCAGGGAAGAATAAATATGTCAAGAAACAAAATCTTGACAGGTTTTCCGAGGAGGAGGCAGGGCAAACGTCGTGATTAAATTACTCGTGACAAATTCTACCACCACGGCCACCACCTTGCCAATAATCCAATCTATATTAGGGGCAGGTGAGGTGGTGGTGGTGAATGAATACATAATCAAGACAAGAACTGTTGCTGGTCTGGTCTGGGTTTAAGTCGTCGCGTATAAAAAATTCAACTGATTTGCATCGAAATTAGAAATTTAGGAATGAAACCTGTTGGCCTTTTCAATTTCATTTGGTTCTTGGAAAGACCTTGAATACGGAAGGAAGAAGCTGCAGCAATGTCAGTGTCGTCGTCTTCTTGGAAATGAAATCTGCAGGATAAGTTAGCTTATCTCAATGGACAATGGTGAGATTGACACCCACACGCAAACTACAGGGCACGTTCGTTATTGCAAAATACTTTGAAATGGAGAGGACATAAAAATCGGGTCATTTCATTCTCTCTTCTTCTTCGTGCGTAACCTGGTTAAAAGGAGTTAAATCCGAATGGAGATAAAGCGGATAAAACGCACCCACTCTCTGCATGGGAAAAGAGAGAGCCATACACGTATTGAAGGGATAGGGTCACACATTATGGAGACGTGGGAAGGTTGGTGTAGTGGTGATCATAAAACTACTCTCATCCACTTTCACCACCACTTCTTCGCGTCCTCCTCCTCTTATCCTAGCCCCTCATTCACCTCGAGGTACGTACGTATAGTAAAGAACACAAGTAGGGAAAAAAGTGAGAAAACTAAGTGATGAAAGTTTCTCATTTTTCTCGAGGGCCTTTTTTCTCTTCAATACAGATGGGAGAGGAGGATAAAAATTAAAAAATAGCAATCTCCTATTTTATGATGAAAATTATTTTACACGATAAAATTCGATCATTATCTCCTTGTTTAAAAAATATGCCAATTTTAATTCAACAAAACACTTTACTTTCACCCAGATCTAAACCGATATCGATTCTCTGAAGGAGAAGAGTAGTCACTTTATCATACCCTCTCGCTACCACCTACCCCCGTGGTGCTGGAGATGCATATCATCCATTTTATTGGGCAGATAGATAGCTTAGTTTAGCTTCCTTGTGAAGGAGATAAACCTGAATAACTTTACGCAGACACAAGTCAGCACCGACTGAGATGAAGCCAAAATAACAGCTCCTCTCGATCTCCAAGTTTGCAACAACTTTCTCCGACGGGGTGGGAGGAAACAGAAAAGATGACTAATCACGCAAAACACTGGAAAAATCAATCATGAAATTATTCCGTAATTTTGTTTATTATGCGATACTACATGTCGATTATATACACCGTCTCAGTCGTCCGTCGTGCGTTTATTTAGAAGCCTGGAGTTGCATGTCACTCTAAAAATACCCGCGGCATGCAACCCAACCGCAGGAATGACGTCCTCCTTGCATCACAACTTGTTCTCATGCATGTCATGAATATAAATGTTCTTTTTCTTTGCCTCCTCGCTTTGTGATGGGAGAGTAATCACAGTGGTGGCTGGTAAGTGGGAATTGTGGAGGATTTCTGTGTAGCCAATGGACTTTTCATTGTCAGAAGTCGGTGCTGGTACACATTTTATGCCCCGTTCCCAGAGTCAGCACTTTCACTCCCATTACATCCACTCATTCAGATTCAAATGGGGGGAGAATAAGAGAGGGAGAGAGAGCAATAAAATCAGGCCGGAATAATGCCTATCATTGTTATGTTATCTTTTACCCAGACTCAATTGCTCAATCAATCAATTGTTCTTTTCTAACAAAGGATATTGATCACTTAAAGAATTCTTTTTCAAACTAAATATTTTTCCATTTCGTCATCTTCCGGTTTTCTCCTGTAAAAAAAATCACGGCGAGAAAAAAAGGGTCCCTCTCAATGTCGGATAAGTAATAGTAAAATCTGATTTCCACCAGAAAAGTCTAGTTTCACCCGAAAAGTAAGTATGTGCTATGCCAAAGTCTAAATCCTTGCATGGTCTGCGGTTTCATGTGGAATAAATCCTTTCTCCCAACAACAAAATCTAAATCCCACTCATATTATGGCACGGACCGATGAGTGTGCGGATGGATGGCTGGCTGGATAATGCATTGCATAAGCCAATTTATCCTGCCTGGCTGAATCGTCGGCATTTCTCTGTCTGTACATAAATAAATACATAACTCACTTTGTTACCCGTGTCCACGTTGGGTTGAGTTGCTGTCCTATTTTTATGACGACTTGATGTAAAAGTTGGCCAGTTTTATTAGCTTGAGTTTGATGAGGTTTGTGTTTAGGGTTGTGATTTGATGTCTGTCATGTCCTTGTTGCTTATACATAGTTTTACTGGATGCATCATTACGGTGGTGGTGGTGGTGATTGATGGGCATGAAAAACGAACGAACCAACGACGACAATGACCGTTACATTGGCAGTGAGACTGATTTGCTTTGATGACAAGTGCTTTTTGGGGACGAGAATAACTATGTAAAAGTACGAAAAAAGAACAGCACAACAGTCGTCTGGTCACTGATTGTGACATTGAATTATTGTTCATGGACAGAACTAGTTGAAAGATTTTACTAAAAAAAACACCCCTATTCAGGTTTAATTTAATCCTCCTACACGGTTACATGACAAAAAGTTGTTGTTGAGTCGGTCCGAATTCGAAGGTAAATAGTGACAAAAACCAGCCTTGCTACATACTTCATGATCACGGCCCTTTCACTCCTACAAAACAACGACCACCTATATTTTGTCGTACGTGATGTTTTCATTGAGGAAAAAAAACTTTGCTACTGCGGAAATATATTCGTCGTGTTAATGAGTCGTGTGTGCAGTTCGTGGTAAAGTGCCAAGTTTTTAAAGGGCGAAAAATAAATTCGCACACAATTGGCACTACTTGTGAGCAGCACTCACAAAGTTTTATTAGTTTATGTAAGTACGAGATCTCCACCTCCACCAGGTCGGGGTGATGTGCTCTTTTGCCTGGTGAAAGCAGGTGTTGCTCGCACGAGTCATGAGTATTGATTGAGAATTTAGCTAATCAGGCAAAGTGCGAATGGAGCATATGTATGTTGGAGAAAGTTCAGGTCGAGGAGAGTCGGTGGGTTCTTTGGTTGGTACGTTGAGTTGTCACTTTTCCAGTCCAGGGTACGTACCTCCATCTCAACTGTTGAGTCAAATCAATCAATCAAACCGTGGACAAAACCCGACTTCATTCATTCATTCAATCAATCCCAATGTCAATAGTGTCTTGTAACCAAACTAATTTTGATGTTTGTTCATTCCCCCAAAATCTACAGGCATGCATAATTTATCGATTTTAATTTGACGACATTTTAACTACATAGTTCGTGGAGAAAGTTGGGTTGCCTTCGGTATGAAATAATTTCGGAAATTATATTTTTAGAAAGCTGCTTTATTTTCTTCGTGTGCAAATTTTACGACGCAAAATAACCTCCACAAATAAAGTTCAAATTTCAAAGTAAAATTACAAAATTTGTCATAAATTGTCCCTACTTATGTAAGTTATGTCACATTACATCACAAATAATTAGGCAAATTAAGCAATTAATGCACTCCAAGTTTCCTAATGCAGGCAAAATAAATCGAAATATACTTTACCATACCATGCATCCTACATATTTACTGAAGATAATAATGGCTGCTGCATTGACGTAAGAAACGTATGTAGCGTAGCCAAATACGAAAATTTTACGAGTATAATTTTACCCGTTTGAGTGACGTGAATCATGTTTATCTATAATCAGTTGAGTTGTTTTTATTTGATTTGCTCTTCCAAAAAACTAGTAAAAAAATAAGCTTTTACATATTCCTCGTTCACCTCACCTGTCTCAGGTTACTCACAATTTACAAGTTTGAGATTTCTCAACATAAATAATTCGAATTACATATTTATGTATGTACATTCGTCTTTCGAAACAATAAAAAAAACAGGACAAGTTTGCAATACATAAAAAATATTCCAGACTTTCTCCACTTTAATCCAGTTCATTCCTGCCTATTTATGTAGGTATTTTCCGTATTGCATGTCATCACCAACTGGAAAATGTTGTTCTTTTTCCCGTCACGGTCAAATTCCTGATTTTTTCTCCTAAAATTTCCAACCCTACGTAATCAGAGCATGGTTGCCCAACCTGGATGCACACACACGCCGATCGTTGCGGTTGATACGTACCTTCATTGCCTAACAAAAGGAAAAGTAAGCAAAACAAAAGTTTTTTCGTCTCGACTGGAAGGAAAGTAATTGAAGAAGGAAATGTGTGTCAACTGATTTCCTATTTTTAGCAGAATTATTGAAGGAAAGAATTCCACTATTTTTATCCGACAACGCCCCTCAAGGTCTCGATACGAGAGGTTTCTCGCTCACTTTCTTTATGGTTGTT